TCACGGGCACCGGCGAGGGCCAAACTCAACAACATGAGTTCACAGAGAGGAAACGTGCAGCGATCGCGGCCTCAGAAGCACCGGAATGCCACCGTGTTTAAGAACGACAAGTATGACAGCAACCACCTCACCAAGGTGAGCACCGCACCATGTGACCATCACCGGAACTGGCCATCCGGTCACCGGGTATCGCCCTGCCAGGCTGCGGTCACCGGGTATCGCCCTGCCAGGCTGCGGTCACTGGGTATTGCCTGCTATGGTCTTAATATGTGGACAGAGCATGTCGAAAGGGAATGACCCCCATCCTGCAGGGAGCTTTCCTACCAGTGTTTCCTGCTTTCATGGTTATTCCCTGAGTTTAACATTTTAAGCCAAAATTGCCAAACTAGAAATGTAGCTGTTTCTTTTTTCTCTAATTCAGCTAATTTGGCCTAAAATATTAACTTCATTTTTAATGTTTTCTCCCCCTAAACCCGCTAGTAGTATGTTCAATGTGGCCATTCTGTACTGTCATGTTACAAGAGGCCAGTAAACCTCATTAATGGAAGTCTAGTTTCATAATGCGCATTTATTGGGATATTAAAATTATATTCAATTCCTGGAGCTACTACTGGGACATCTGTAAATCTGCTAAGGCAATTATGGCGGAAAACCCGTTTGTCAGCTTGGTGAAGTGCTTTAGGGGAAAACTGCATGTACCCTCTGACTTATTTTATAAAAGTAGTTTTAGCAGTTTGATGAACCCCTTTAGTAACATCTCCCAGCTTTCATGTACACAGAGTTGTCTACTCGTTGAACTGTAGTTGAAAGCAGAGAACTGAGTGCTTTACAGAGAAACTTTGTTTGCGAATCACAGCATTGGTTGCTCATGCAAGGTATGCCCCAGTGCCAATCTGTGAAAACCATTTTATTGGACACAAGTCATCAGTAATGATGATTTTCACAGGGGCGCTCTCCTGGCGCTGGACTATAGGTAAGTTTCAATGCAGAAATTGAGTGGGGCGATAAGGAATCAGAAGAGTGTAAGCTTGTTTGACTGGCTCCTCATCAACCGTTGTTCCTGTAACACTTTGTAATTTTCTAATTTATTGTTAAATTTACTCCTTTTATAATATTGTAAAACACTGCGTAATAAGTTGATGCTATGTATATGCCAATAATAATTATAAACAAAAGAAACCCTCCAATAAAAGAAAACAAAATATTTTGTGTGTGTATATGTATATATTTACACACAAAGTGTTTATTTAACATTACACACCATGAGAAATTTATACAAGATAATAAGAAATTGTAGAACATCTATTGCACGTGACACTTTTTTTCCATACTTTAGTAGTTCACATCTTTCTGCCTATGAATGGAACAAGTATTGCAAGGTGAGAATTAAGCTGTTAAATCTAACCCTTTGCAAAATGTGGTCTCCTAAAACTATAAATATATTATTATTATTTTTTTTTCAGTGACTGTTATCATCAATCCCTGCCAAATGTGCTGGTTATAGTTCTTTATTTTTCCTTGTTTCATTTTCATTGGGCGTTCCACAGACCATGTGTGTCCTACTTCTGTAAATATTTGTATTTTGCAACAATGCTGGAGTACAGCAATACTGTACACATGAGTATCGCGCCCTGCCAGGCTGCGGTCACTGGGTATCCCTCTGCCAGGCTGCGGTCACTGGGTATCCCTCTGCCAGGCTGCGGTCACTGGGTATCCCTCTGCCAGGCTGCGGTCACTGGGTATTGCCTGCTATGGTCTTAATATGTGGACAGAGCATGTCGAAAGGGAATGACCCCCATCCTGCAGGGAGCTTTCCTACCAGTGTTTCCTGCTTTCATGGTTATTCCCTGAGTTTAACATTTTAAGCCAAAATGGCCAAACTAGAAATGTAGCTGTTTCTTTTTTCTCTAATTCAGCTAATTTGGCCTAAAATATTAACTTAATTTTGAATGTTTTCTCCCCCTAAACCCGCTAGTAGTATGTTCAATGTGGCCATTCTGTACTGTCATGTTACAAGAGGCCAGTAAACCTCATTAATGGAAGTCTAGTTTCATAATGCGCATTTATTGGGATATTAAAATTATATTCAATTCCTGGAGCTACTACTGGGACATCTGTAAATCTGCTAAGGCAATTATGGCGGAAAACCCGTTTGTCAGCTTGGTGAAGTGCTTTAGGGGAAAACTGCATGTACCCTCTGACTTATTTTATAAAAGTAGTTTTAGCAGTTTGATGAACCCCTTTAGTAACATCTCCCAGCTTTCATGTACACAGAGTTGTCTACTCGTTGAACTGTAGTTGAAAGCAGAGAACTGAGTGCTTTACAGAGAAACTTTGTTTGCGAATCACAGCATTGGTTGCTCATGCAAGGTATGCCCCAGTGCCAATCTGTGAAAACCATTTTATTGGACACAAGTCATCAGTAATGATGATTTTCACAGGGGCGCTCTCCTGGCGCTGGACTATAGGTAAGTTTCAATGCAGAAATTGAGTGGGGCGATAAGGAATCAGAAGAGTGTAAGCTTGTTTGACTGGCTCCTCATCAACCGTTGTTCCTGTAACACTTCGTAATTTTCTAATTTATTGTTAAATTTACTCCTTTTATAATATTGTAAAACACTGCGTAATAAGTTGATGCTATGTATATGCCAATAATAATTATAAACAAAAGAAACCCTCCAATAAAAGAAAACAAAATATTTTGTGTGTGTATATGTATATATTTACACACAAAGTGTTTATTTAACATTACACACCATGAGAAATTTATACAAGATAATAAGAAATTGTAGAACATCTATTGCGCGTGACACTTTTTTTCCATACTTTAGTAGTTCACATCTTTCTGCCTATGAATGGAACAAGTATTGCAAGGTGAGAATTAAGCTGTTAAATCTAACCCTTTGCAAAATGTGGTCTCCTAAAACTATAAATATATTATTATTATTTTTTTTTCAGTGACTGTTATCATCAATCCCTGCCAAATGTGCTGGTTATAGTTCTTTATTTTTCCTTGTTTCATTTTCATTGGGCGTTCCACAGACCATGTGTGTCCTACTTCTGTAAATATTTGTATTTTGCAACAATGCTGGAGTACAGCAATACTGTACACATGAGTATCGCGCCCTGCCAGGCTGCGGTCACTGGGTATCCCTCTGCCAGGCTGCGGTCACTGGGTATCCCTCTGCCAGGCTGCGGTCACTGGGTATTGCCTGCTATGGTCTTAATATGTGGACAGAGCATGTCGAAAGGGAATGACCCCCATCCTGCAGGGAGCTTTCCTACCAGTGTTTCCTGCTTTCATGGTTATTCCCTGAGTTTAACATTTTAAGCCAAAATGGCCAAACTAGAAATGTAGCTGTTTCTTTTTTCTCTAATTCAGCTAATTTGGCCTAAAATATTAACTTAATTTTGAATGTTTTCTCCCCCTAAACCCGCTAGTAGTATGTTCAATGTGGCCATTCTGTACTGTCATGTTACAAGAGGCCAGTAAACCTCATTAATGGAAGTCTAATTTCATAATGCTGCATTTATTGGGATATTCTAGTTATGACATTTCGCTTTGCTTGCTTCCTAGAGATGCAATTTGATAAAGTTAGAACCGTATGTTTCATTATACCAAATTTTAACAATTAACTGTTTAGTAGATTGGCCTCCAGGCTGAGGAATCTCTTTGAGACACAGTCTTAGTACTGTTACTTTTGATGACAGCTGAGCAAATTATTTCTATACTTGGCTACCAGGTTGATCAGACCGCTAGGGAGCCAATCAGTTACTTTTGTTGGAATAGTCCACTGACTGCAAGGTATTAGCTGTCAGTCACCGCAAAACGCCACTATGTTTGACTATTACTGCAGTCCTATGAGATGTGGCATGTTTTCAGGATTCTCTGGTTAACCAAATGAGCGAGGCTTCCATTAACAGCAAATACGCTCTTCATTTTAGTTTCTACCTTTCTTCATAGAGATCCTGGCTGGCTTGGAGTGATGGGGATCGTTGGCGACAGCAGTCCCTATGATCACGTGCCTTGGGTGACGTCCACATCACTATTTCTATTATACATCACTAATGGGCATAGCGTAATCTCACAGCAAAATGTAACGCTGTGCAGCAACCATCATGAAGAAATCCGTTACTCTCCATTCCATGACTATTTTAGATGTCTGCAGTTTGTATGTTCAGTGTTTTACTTTGAAATACTGCACATAAAAAGATTAACCCCTTTGCTGACAGTGCTGTAACCTCACCTCTGGAGTTCCAGGTTGGCTAATGCCAAGTCTCTCAGACAAATGTTGCCCGCTTTGGCTTCCAGCTCTTCAGAAACCTGAAGCACATCAATGGACCACCAGAGAGCATTGTAGCCTGTGGAGGACCCAGCAAACTATTGCTGGCTAACCCGGCCAAGGTATTTCTGGCATCATAACCACTACAGCGTCTGTAGTGGTCATAACGATTGGAGTAACCTTTTTAACATATATTCTCTGGTCAAAAAGTTTGAAGAGGCAGTTTACTGTTTTTAGGAAAAGGAGGGGGAAACAAAAACTAGTTAGCTAGGTATCCATACATATACACACACACATTGTGGAAATATGTAAAAGCTTTTCATTTCAAAATATATAAATATTGTCTAGTTATCCCAGGAATGTCATAAATTCTTGCATTATCTGCAGTGTGCTGAACTTTGTAATATCATTTCCAAATGCTGTCATCTTTCGCATAATGTGCTGTGTTGTGTAATACCAATTTTTACAAGTCACGTAAATTTAACATGTGTCATAGCTTTGTAATGTCCTCATCCACTTTCTTTTGTCCTAGATATTCTCTTATGGCCACACTGATTTGTTAAAATTATTATAATGCAATCAGCAAGCATAATTTAGTTGTGTGCATTTGGATTAGACTTGGTGATTGTTTTGTCTGCATTATTATCTATACACTTTTTTTTTTTTTTTTCTCTTCATTTTAGAAACTTAATTCAAAGTTACATGATGGAGTTTGCCAGAGATGCAAAGATGTTTTGGAATGGAGGGTAAAATTCAGCAAGTACAAGCCTCTGTCACAACCTAAAAAATGGTATGTAACACTCCCTGTTTATGGTCCCAAGTAATCTGAGTGTTTGTTTACTTTTTTTTAGATGCTCCTAGATGATTAGGAGAACAATAAAACCTCTCTGAGTTTAGAAACTGAGCTTTGTAAAGAAAGGATCCGGGGAAGAGTTAGGGATATAAACATTCACAATACAGTAGGAAATTGAGTTAACAGTAAGACATAATATAACATATGTGTATTACATATTGAAGGTTTGAATGCAACAAGATTGCCACCCCTCCTGTTTTGGAATTCTATTTTGCTGCAATACAGGGTTGGATCCAGGTTGCTTTAAGCTGTGCATCAGCCAATTGTGACCACTGAGTTTGATGTAGAAGAGTAATATGTGGCTGTTGTTTAGCTAAAAACCTCAAAATCTTCTTTCTCTTTATGGGTGTGTTTACCTCTTTTACATTCCAGGATAGGAATTTAATGTTAGAGGTCGAGAAAGTTCTTGGATTAGAAGACATTAATATCTTAGCCGATACCCTGGCAGGGAAGGTGGTATAACTGAGATTGGTAGCATAGAAGGGGACTCTGTCCCTCCAAAGTCAGAGACAAGCAAGGAGTCCAGCGGATCCGGTAGGTAGAAGGCCAAGTGGCCCAAACTATATACAGATAGGTGAACCAAAAAGCATTTAGAGATGATGGTTCATCACTCCTCTCTAAGTGGTGAGAATCTGGCTGAAGGGTTTGGTGAAGGTGTCCCCCAATCCGGGAGAACATTCTGTAGAAAGGTGGTAGCCTCTGATTCCGAAGAGGTAGACCAATTATGATTTGCGATGCGTAAACGTAGAGTGGCAGGATACGACGGAGCAAATCTTATGCCTTTCTTGTGTAACGCTGAGCAGATGGAAGTAAAGGCTTGTCTCCGCTGTGTGACTTGTGCAGAGTAATCTTTGAAGATTATAGTTCTTTTGTCTTGACAGGTAAGTCGAGAAGGTTGTTTATAAGCTGTAAGGATACTAACCATATCATTGAAATTTAGGAACTTTGCTATTATTGGTCGTGACTTAGTGGCATCACTGGGCCTGTCAGGGCCAAATCTGTGTGCTTATTCAATAACGATGGGAGTGAGAGCAGAGGTACCGAGCTGTAGGATATCCTGTAGCCAGCTTTGAAGAGTGGAGAGAATGTCAGCCGAGTTCAACGATTCAGGGAAGCCCACAAATCTTAGGTTATTTCTTCTACCCCGGTTTATGAGATCATCTAATTAACCTGTAGAGATGATAAAGTATTGTGTTGTTGTGTAGTCGATTGTAATTGGTGAAGTTCATCTTCTGTTGCGCTTTTTCTGGTTTCTAGTAGAGTAATTTGAGTAGAATGGGATTGTAGTAAATGAACTGCATTATCAATAGATTCTTTAATGTCCTTGAATTGGGAGTCAAAGATTGGTTTGAGAAGAAAACGGGCGACTTCTGAAGCTTGCTGTGAGATGAGAGTAGATGTTCTGAGGGGCAAAGAGGGATCCTCATCCGGAATAGAGCCAGCAGGGGAAAGTGCCAGTGTGGATGGGGGTATAGTTTGTCTTAGATGTTATTTCTTTGCATGTTTTTGAGGTTTGCTGTTATGTTGTTTTAGAGAAGGATTTATCAATTAATTTATCCATGACAGAGAGAAGGAGGGAAATCAGAGAACAAAAAATTAATTAAAAAAAATCTTATGGTCAACAAAGGTATTTACAGTACATATGAGGAGAAATTATATCTGTTCTGAAGCAGAGAGACCCATCAGACCCCAATTCTGATGAGCTGCTAGCATAGAATTTTCGGCTGCTCTGATGTGGCTATGGCGAAGGTCTGCGAGGGTCCCTGCACATAAAATTTTTAGCCATCATTAGAGTGGAACTGTGAAGGTATTCAGGGTTTTGCGGTGGCTCAGGACGTAGTTGAGGCCTACGGGTTAAGCGTAGCAAGGGATAACCTGCAGCTACAGGAGTACACCCCCTGCCAGAAAAAACGGTTGAGATACTGCAGCATCCAATAAGGAATACGAAGAATAAATAAATAAGTCAACCCAGTAATGTACAGTCTATGAGGGCAAATATTTACAGCCCCTCCGCAGGCTCCCTTCCTTTCTGTGTTATCCAATAGTGCTGATGTTGAGAGAGAGAGAGAAGAAAAACCATTATGTATATGAGGAATAGCTGTCAGACATCAGTGCTGCAGAGCTTTGGTCCCTTTGCAGTGAGGTAAGAGACATTGGTGACAGGGGAGAGGTAGTCCAGAATCCCTTCACTATTGATGTCTCCAAGCTAGGAGAAACTGATAGGCACTTATTATAAATGTGATGACATTTTCTTAGAGTGGCACAAGCTTGAAATAAAACCAGCAGGCAGGTCTGCAACTGACTGTCAGTAATAATATCACAAAAAGAGAGAAAAATATAAATAAATAAAACTCAACAAAGTATATACACTGGAAGCAGCTGTGTGGCAGCCTGAATTCAAGTTTGAGGCCAAGGAGGTGTACAAAAAAGTGTCCTCCAATACAAGGCACTGGAGTGAGCAGAGGGACTAGGAGTTTATCAGCAGCCACAGCCCTACAGAGTATCTTCTCAGATACAGTGTGTGGGGTTATTAACCAGCGTTGTATGGTCTAGGGAGGCTGCCAGGCCTGATGTCCTGTGAAGGTGTGGGGCACAGTTTTAATTATGTGATCCGGTACCTAACGTTGTAATCACCGCGAATAAGGTTCATCCGTTAACATCGGGAACCTTCAGTGAGCCTTGGCTCAGTGGATGTGAGGTGCAAAGGAGCAATGATGCCCCACGGCCAGCTAAGATGGCGGCGGAACCGGAAGCCTCCATATAAGTGGTTTTAAATCTTGCACCCATAGAACTAAGTCACGTACAAGCCTAAAAAGTAACTAAAAGTATTTTCAAAGAATAAATAGTGTGTGTGTGTGTGTGTGGTAAATTTGTCACATAATAATAATAATAATAACAGAGCAATATGAGGCCTGCAAATTACTTATCTGAGGGAGCAGCCAGGAGTTGGATTTGGAGAGGTGGCTACTTATAGCCGATGGAACACTCTGGTTGTAACGTGATTTCACCTTAATGTTTTTTTTATGCTTTGTTTCTGATTCTCATATGTAAAGTTTCTGATGAGGGACATAAATAAGAAATATATTACCCATTACACGTCTTTAATAAAACCATGAATTTACATCTTATTAATATTAAAATGTGGTATTTCATTGTATAATTTCGTAATGTGTTTGCCTGGTAAGGTCATTCAGATAAAATCTGCTTATTACGCATAGTAGTGGCACTAAATTTATCCTATGTCTAAATGACTTTCAAGAATGACTAAAGTAATTAAGAATATAGAATTTCCAACCCCATAGATAAACATTGTTAATGCCAGACCAGGTTTATTTACTTTAATCAATATTTTTAAATTGTATACCGTGCACATGATTGTATTGACAACCATTTGATGTATGTGTTTTACTATTCAGTATGGATATTATTGATTTTCACAAAAATTAAGGTTTGATTTCTACCTTGGCCCTTTCCTTTGATTATGCATCAGTTTTAAAGTATACCAGCCATGGCAAATGTGTCACTTTACAATGCATATAATTTCAACTTTATATTGTGTTAGTTTACCGTAATTGCTTGTAAATGTCTATATAAAACATTTTGCATAGTTTGACTTTTGGATTTGCAACAA